GAATGATTTACATGGAAGGCAGGAATGAAAAAGGGGTCAGGGTGTAAAGGATACAGATGCAAAAATCAGGGTGCAAAAGGGTTTAGCAGCACTTAGTCATTGAGCACTGTAACGTTTACAAAGAGATGCCATGGGGTTTATTACAATTATTTACTCAGGCAAGTGGTTTACCAGGGCCACAGAGGATAATTGCTTATTCTTGGTTTCCCACCTTGGCTGAGCAGTTGATGGTTCTGATTGTTCCCACCTCCACCACGACAGAGCTCCTGCGGGATCAGGGAGTGACTCACAGCTCCCCTGGTTTGGTCAAGGGATATCAGGAGCTTCTGAGGATGACGGGGGTGAGTGTGTGTGTGTGTGTGTGTGTGTGTGTGTGTGTGTGTGTGTGTGTGCACCCCCACACCATCACAAGTGTCCGTGTATTTACAGCAGGTTTTTTTCTCCTGTTATCAGTTCCTTTCTTCACTTGGGTGACAAAGGTCCTTGAATTGCTTCTAAAGTCTCCTGCCCTGAAAACACAGAACGGAATTTTGTCTGTATGCCTTGCACAAACCTTACACTCCCAACAGTGTTAAAAGAATGTTATGGCTGCAAATTCAAGTAGACAGCTGTGTTTGTAAGGTTGTTAAATACAAAACAAGTAGCCATTGGAAGAAAAGGCCACCAAGCAGAGGAAAACCCAACTTTATTATTTCATACCACATCTGATCTGTTCTGACAGAGAAAGTAACACCTCTACTTTTGTCCCTCATTTACACGGATTTTATTTATGAAAATATTTTGGCAAGCATCTGATATTTGACAAGACCTTTTTGCCATTTCACCTACAAGGTCTTAAAATAATATTCCCAAGGGTAATTTCTCTGACCCAGTTATGTTTTTTAACAGCAGCAGCTTACTCAGGCAAAATTTGAGTATTTGCAACACCCAGTCTGACTTTCTCTCTGCCCATTCTTTACAGTAATGTGCTTGGTTTAAATCCATTCCTTCCAGTCTCTGGAATGTTTTGTTTCCTTTTACCTTTCCTCTCCCTTCTTTTTTTTTTAATTTTTTTTTTTAAAGCTGTCTTCTCTTTGGTTTTGTTTTGCTCCTTTTTTCCATTACACTTCTGTCTCTCTGCGATGGTTTTCCTCCCTCTCCCACTGCTGCACACGTTGTTGCTGTCCAGAACAGATAAGGACCTTGTGACAGAGATCCTTTGTTGGCTTTTTTTTTTGGTCAGAAAAGTGCAAAATACAACCTCTTTAATCAAAGGACATTCCAGCCAGTTACACTCCTCAGTTGTTCAAAGCAAACTCATATTCTCAGACTTTGTTACAAACAAGTTCAAACTAAAGTCAAGGTCAGAAAGAGGCAGTTAACAGGGCTCATTTCCCCCATCATTTACCCTTTTTCATATGTACTTTTTTCACAGGTGATGTACTGAAATGCTCACATTTTTAATGTTTCTAACAGAAGGCAGGTGTGAGGGTGTAGGTGCAAGGGAAGGCAGCACTGCCTGTAATTATGCTCTGTTAGGTAACATTTGACTGTGGACAGACCTTGTTGCTGTCTGTCTCTGAAGATGTGCTTGTCACTTGGCAGCTTGAAAAATACACCTGCAGTTACATCCAGAATTATTTTACAGATCCTGTCACTCTGCAGGACACACAGACAGTGCTGGAAGTCAAAACTTGTCTTTTAAAGTTAATCTCTACATTCAATCAGGGGTGAACTCTGAGTGAACTGACTCCGGCTTTTGAAACATACTTTGCATTTCTGATACTATCTTCCTTCTTAAAAGTATTTTATAAACTGTTCTGTTTACCAAGATGCCAAACTAGTAAGATCCAGTCAGCTCTGAAGTAGAAAAGAGCAATCCCCTCACAGGGAGCAACCAGCAGTTCCACTGTGCAAAGAATTTTATCTCAATCAACAGGGGCAGGTTGGCTTCCTGCTATGGAAAAAATTAAGACACGAATTATTGGTGTCTTTAAGATACTTTTCAGCAAGCTCAGTAAACTCATGACAAGTTTTACTTGTTTTCTTTCAAACCAGCAGGTTCTGGCATAAAGTGAACTAGGATTTAACTTATCACAGCTTCTCAAAGAGCAAGATGCCAAAAGCAAACCAGCATCACACCTCAGTGCACGGAACCACAGCTGAATAATCAGCTGTACTGCCTCTCCCAGCCAAAACCCACCAGCTGCATTTCTTAGCCCCATTACATCCTTTCAAGTAATAGCTCCAAAGTCTGCAACAAAGCCCCAGACAAGCAACTGAATTAATGTGTTGTTTGGTACACTTGGATAAACACACAGATTTACCACAAAAGACAGGGATCCATTCTCTCTGAATCAAGTGGGAAGATTGAAGTGGTATTTTTTGAAGTGTGTGTTTCACCTCTCAGACATCCTCGATTGCCTTTCTTTGTTGCTGCTTGAAAGAAACTCCTTTCTATTTCAAAGTTCACAGGTTTCAACTCACTTCAAAATCCTCACTGCGACTTCTGCTCCTGAATTTTCTGTCATTTTTCTCTTAATGGTGCTGGCCTGTCACTGTCATATTTAATTGTTCACATTTCAGAATAATACAACAGATAATATAACAGATAATGTCACCTCTTGTACATTTGGAACAGTATCTAAGCCTCCTTTTGATTGTATTTTATGTGGTTACTTTTGTAATGTGCTTAATTGGAAAGTATTGATATTCTTTGTCCTTAGAGACTTTCCCAACTCCTTGCAAGGAAATCCAGAGCTTATGTAATGTATTATTGTTGTGAGTACTGTTGGGGTTTTAAAATAATAGGTTAAGGATATAAAAGGAGAAAAACTTACAGGAAAAGGTAATAACATTTCTCAGATTAATTGATTCAGACTGAAAAATGGAAATGCTTTCAAAGGCGCTTCTTCATAGACATTTCCTCTCACATTATTTTTTAAATGAATGTGAACCAAAGAAGAATATTAGGCATTGTAAATCTACAGGATGGGCCTGACCTTGAGGCTCAAGCTCAGGCAAATATTTAGCAAGTCTTTTAACTGCTATCTACAGCTGACAAAATATTCTAAGACACTCAACAAATTCCTTAGCAATACATTCCAATGTCATTACAATGCAGTGTCAAATAGCATTCCAAGCTGGATTTCATACACTGCCTCTGGGGTTTAGGGGGAGGAATATCACCTGGTTCTTTTAAAACACAATCTTTGCCCTTCAGGTTATTTGAACTCTCAGTATCAGCGTGCTAAAATTCCTTGGTGCCTTGACTGGCAGCAGGGAAGGGTGAAGGGCAAAGAGCCAGAGGCTCTGCAGAGCTTCCCCAGCTCCATCACACCTCAGTTTGCAGGTGACACTGGTTCCATTCTTCCTTCTCCTTTCCTGTTCTCCCTGATCCTACCCTCCACCTTCCTTGTCACGAGGAATACGATTCTCCAAATATTTGCTAAGCCTTTCTAGGGGCTGCAGCACATTAATATAAGGAAAATGAGAAGGTGAGGAGTGGTGTTTAGGGAATATTACAGGCAGTTCACAACAACATAGTGTTCTTACACCAATTAAAAGCCAGTGATTTCAGTGTGTTTTTGCCAAAACACTGGATATGGAATAAAAACTGGCTATCCTCACCAGAGTTCTTCCTAAAACTATACCACAGCATCCATCCACACTGCCATTGAATGAACAAACCAGAATGGTCAGGTCTGTCACATCAGCATGCAAAGCCTGTGAGTCCCAACTGTACCTGAAAACAATGGAAGTGGCTGACTGGAGAAACTAAGGACATTTTTTAATGCCTGTGTTTGGCGAGTTTATGCCAAGAAGTGCTTCAGGTCTTTAAAAGTCTGTGAAATGGTACCATGAGTAGAATTATAGAACCACAGAATGCTTTCATCTCAAAGAGACCTTAAAAATTATCTTGTTTCCCCCCTGCCATGGGCAGGGACACCTTCCACCAGCCCAGGTTGCTCCAAGCCCCTTCCAACTTGGCCTTGGACACTTCCAGGGATCCAGGGGCAGCCACAGCTTCTCTGGGCAACCTGTGCCAGGGCCTGCCCACCCTCACAAGGAAGAATTGCTTCCATATATACCTCTGAAAATTCTAATTACCACATTAAAACCGAGAATGATTCATTTCCAACGCAAGTTTTACGACTGGAATTTTGGGGGTACAGGTCTGGAACAGCCTCCCTCGTCACAATTCCAGCCTTTTAGCCCCCTCCGACCGCCAGGATTTCGTGCGCAGAGCTGCAAAGAGGGAGCCGGGCTGTTCACCGAGCGCCAGAACAAATCACGCCGGAGGGAACCGGGAGCTTCTTTGGGCTTTGGCTTTAAGAGATCAGGAGTCAAAAAAAAAAAAAAAGAAGAGAGGGGAGGGGAGGAGGCTGTGGTTGTCGGCGGTGGGATGCGCCGAGCCGAGCTGCCCCCTGTCCCTGCCCAGGTGCCCGTGCCCAGGTGAGCCGTGCCCAGGTGCCCGTGCCCAGGTGAGCCG